GCTGTGGAAAAGGCATACAACGACAGGTCCCCCACGCTTTACTTCAGCTACGATGAGGATCTGGAGGCCATCCCGGTGGCCATCAAGGCGCTTCGTGAGACCCTTGAGGTGCTGCATGTGGACAACAGCTACTCTCTCAAGTGGCTTCCCCCCGCGATTGGGGACCTCGGCCGGCTCCGCTGGCTCAATGTGAGCTACTGTCGACTGAATTTTCTTCCGATAGAACTTGGGCGTCTTTCTCACCTGGAGCGTCTGTACCTGAGCAACAATCGGCTCCAGTCGCTGCCAATGGAATTCTGGCAGTTAAAGAGTCTTGAGGAATTGCGGCTGGACAACAACAAACTACGCGTTCTTCCTGGTGGTATTCTTTTTTTGCCACGACTGGAGACTTTGACGCTGGAGAACAATCCGCTTTTAACTCCAGAGGAAGTTTTGGGCGCAGCCCCGGCGACCCTCGTCCCCCACATTATGTGCGTTGACTGCTCCAACTGCTGCGTGCGGCTAAGGAACTACGAGGTGCTTATAACATTCCACAACATTGCCGCACTGCAGTCTGTTCCCTTTGTGCATTGCCTCTGCTCGCAGACGTGCAAGCAGCACTTAGAGGTCCGTTTAGCGGAGTACGACGCGTTACATTCTTCTGTGAAGCCGTCGTCGCCTTCGTCGTAAACGCCTCGCAAAGGTGCGACGCCCTTTTATGATGTAAGTGAGCCTGGCATTGTCCTCGCTTCCCTCTCCGGTATCATGTAGGTAGTCTTGCTTACTTCCCCTCGCACTGCATTTACCGTGGTCGGGTAAAAAGAACAGTGGGAAGGAAGGAAGGAAAGAAAAGAAAGAAGAAAAAAAAAAAAAAAAAGAACGGCAGGATGGGGCTGTGCTATTTTTTTTTTATTTTTATATGCGTTTTGAATGCTTCGCTTTCTTTTTTTTTTTTTGTTTTTTTTTTTGTTTTAATTTTTTCTGTTTCCGCGCCTCTTCCACTTCTGCTGTTGCAGTCATCTTTGTTGTTGTGCATACGCCTTCCTTCTCTTCCCCTCCTTTGGTGTCTGTGTGTGCTTTGGCGTCGTTGGGGGGCGGAGGAGGGGGGGGGGTGCAGCATTGCTTAGCAGAGAGTCAGCAGCAGGGGCATTACACAATAGATATATACATATATACTTGGTGTGGGAAGGAAAGAGACATCAACGAAAGGGGAGAAAGAGAGAAAAATGGAGTTGGATGACATATTGGGTGACAACCCGCCAGAAGCAGTAGATTTAATGGACATTGACGATATCCTTGGCGACCCTCCGGCCGCCGGAACACAAAACACAAACCCCGCAGCACCCGCCAGTGCGCCAAATGAAAGTTTGATCGAAATGCCGTTTGTTTTGGATGTGCCGAAGCCGCGGCGCCCGCCTGCAAAAGGCCCGCCGCCGCCTCGGGCACATACGGTGCAGCTGCAATTCTTCAGAGATCCGCCGCCTCATGTGAAGACGTACGTGACGAATGCGTGCTACTACGCAAATCAAGTTTCTATGATCAACCGCGACGGGTCTCGAGAAAAACGAGGGATTGTTTTGAACGACAGCAACATTTACGTCATGAGCAGCGGCGCAAAAGTGGAACAAACCATACCACTCACGCAGGTGGAGGCTTTGATTATGCAGGACATCATGACACCGAAGTCTCTTGGCATATCAAAGGAATGGCAGACGCATATTTTGTTGCAACTGCGTGACTTTCCGGACTTGTTTTTTTCGCTGCCAGACGACAAGAAGAATGACCCCACCACTGGCGGCACTTACGGCGAGAAGATCCCGGTGCTTGAGGTGGTGCTGGCGGAGCTCCTGCGGGCGTACGACGTTGACCTTCTCGTTTGCAGCCTCAGGGAGGAGGAGAGTATTCACCACCTTGTAAAGCGAACCGTGACCGATGCGGCGATGCGACGTGAGTGTGATGAAATCCTCGCCTACCGCACGAGCCTGACGGCCACGCTGAATGATCTGATGAGGCATGATTCACGGCTTGTTACGAACTGCAACGAGATTGAGGTTTCTGGTGCGTCCCACACGGCAACGACGCTGCTGAAGGAGATTGAACTGATCGAGGGCAAGAACGAGGTGATGACGGCGGCGCTGAATCAGGCAAACGTCTCGCTGAACAGGTGCCTCTCGAAGGAGCACGAGTTACGCGGGTCCCTGCAGGCGAAGGAAAAGGCGGTCCAGGAGGAGGTGGACAGGCGGGTCGCGGCACAGCAAGGTGAAATGATCGCGAGGCAGGCGCTGGAGTACGAACTCATGAAGGTCGCCCACCAGACGGAGATGCAGCACCTCAAACTCCTGTGCGAATTCCTTCAGGCACGAATCGAGCGGTGCCGCCGGTCCCCTGCAGTCACCGTCGCTGACCTCGAGTCCTATTTGGAGGAGTTGAAACGACTGAAGCAGTCGGTGCTCTCGCGTAAAGCCGAGGCAAACAAAAAACTGGCGGTGGCGAAGCGGCACCTCGTCGACTCGGAGGCCGCGCTGCAGAAGGTGACGAATGAAGTGGCGGTGCTGCAAAAATTACCGCCGGGCACACCCATTCCGCCCGATTTTAACCGCGAGTTGGCACCCACGTTTCTTCCGGTGCACCTCCCGCAGAAGCAGCTGGGGGACCAGAATGCGGGCGTCGATGTGAAAGCCCCACCGCACATGAGCAGCAGCAAGAAAATCAGTAACGCCCAAGAGACGGCGGTGGTGCTTCCAGACGACGACGACGATGATGATATTTGTCTTGAGAAGCCCCCAACGCAACAGCCGGCTAGGAACCAATCCAACATTATATTGGACGACGACTTGTAAAAGAAAAAAGAAAAGAAAATAAGGATTACAGCAGAATCTTTTTCCAGTGTATATATATATAATATATATACATAAATAATATGCGTGTGTGTTTGTGTGCGTGTGTGTCCTTTTTTTTTCTTTTCCCTCTCTTTTATTGTTGTCGTTTTTTTTACCTCAATTCTAACATCTTATGTTCCTTGTATGTTGTTTTTATTGTCTGTGTGTGTGTGTGTGTGTTTTTTTTTTAAAGGGGCATTCACTCCACCTCACTCTTCACTTTTTTTATCGACATGTCTTGTGCCCCATCCCATTCGCTACTTTGCCTCATGCCGCAGGGCGAATATCGCACATCTACGGCTAACAACCGAGCCGTTTTTCTTTATTATTATTTTGCTTAAGAATTAATTGTTTCTACTTATATTCTTTGCGTGTCATGTATTCTTCTACCCTTTCTTTTTTTTTTTTTTTTTTTTTTTTTCTCTTTATTGTACCGTCATTTCCGTGGGTTTCGGCGGAGGTGGAATTGTAGGGGATTTTTATGCCTGCGAAGCGGAAGTCGGAGAAGAAGGAAGAGCAGGTCTTTGTGGAGGAGGAGGGCCGCTACGTGCACGAGGAGCAGTCAGCGCGATATGTTGGCGGTTTACGGCGGTTGACGGAAAGCACATTTCGCTGTCGCCACGGCCGCGGCGTGTTTATGAGCCCCACGATTCGCTACGACGGCGACTGGCATGAAGATGAGATGCATGGAAACGGTGAACTGCGATTTCTCACAACAGGCGATTTGTACCGCGGCCAGTTTTCGCATGGGGTTTTTGAGGGGACTGGCACGTACACGTGGGCGTCAGGGGCGTCATATGAGGGCGCATGGCGTGCCAACCGCATGCACGGACTCGGCACGTACACAGATGTGAATGGCAAGGTGTGGAATGGCAAGTTTTACAACGGCACTGGCCCTGGACTTACACCCTTCGCGGGTGGCATATGTAAAGAAAAGGCAGCAGTAAAAAAAAAAGTAGAAGAGGCGGTTGCATCGAAAACCGCCGGGGTTTTATAAATGGAGGGTGAACGGTCAAAATGACGTTTGATGTGTGATGGATTGACAGGACGTAAAGAAAAATGGTGGCGGGTGGGGAAAAAAAAAAAAAAAAGACCGTTTTTGTTTTGTTTATTTGGTGATGGTTGCTTTTGTTGTGTCAACTCCCCCTTTTTATTTATTTATTTTTTTTTTTTTTTTTCTTTAAGTTTTCTTCACTGTGCCTATAAGCCGTGGCGAATACAAATATATAAATATACGCATACATACATACATAGAGAGAGAAAAAAAAAAACAAGAGGGGAGAAGAACAAATACATTCAAAACAAGAAAGAAAAGAAAAGAAAAAGACGGAGGAGGAGGAGGAGGAGGGGAGGGGGAAAAGAAAGAGGCTAGAGAATTACATTCATAAATATCTACATACAGACCTACAGACCTACATCAATATATTGAAGAGCAAAGATAAAAGGAGGGGAAGAAAGAAAGAAGAGAAAAAAAAAAAAAAAAAGAACGAATATTATTTTACGGTAAGTCATGAGCGCCAAAGGTGAGGCTGTCATGCGTGACCTCATAGCAGAACTGGAGGAGATGCATTCCCACTACACCGTCCAGCGGTTTATTAGTAGTGGCAGTTATGGTGCCGTCTGCGCCGGTGTGGATGAAAATGACTGCGCCGTGGCAATCAAACGTGTCTTCAACACCCTCTCTGACGGCCGTACGGTGAACATTCTTTCAGATCCATTTCTTTGCAAGCGTGTGTTGCGGGAAATCATGCTGCTTAACCACTTTCATCACCCAAACATTCTTGGGCTGAAGAATATCTTTATTCACCTGCAGCCACCGAATCAACACAAATTGTATCTTGTGACCGAACTGATGCGCACCGATCTTGCGCAGGTGATTCATGACCAGCGAATACGCATCTCCCCCCAGCATATTCAGTTCTTTATGTATCACATCCTGCTTGGACTTCATGTGTTGCATGAGGCGGGCGTGGTGCACCGTGACCTTCACCCCGGCAACGTGCTTGTTGCGGAGAACAATGACATTGCCATATGTGACTTCAACCTCGCCCGTGAAGACACACAGGACCAGAACAAGACGCATTACGTGACCCACCGCTGGTATCGTGCACCGGAGCTTGTGATGCAATTCAAAGGTTTTACTAAGCTTGTTGACATATGGTCTGCCGGCTGTGTCATGGGGGAGCTGTTTAACCGCAAGGCACTCTTCCGCGGCTCAACGTTTTACAATCAATTAGACAAGATTGTTGAGGTTGTAGGCACACCGAACGATGAGGACCTAAAGATGTTTTCTTCCGCGCAGGCCCGCGACTACCTGCACAGCTCGCTTTCCCATTGCAAGAAGCGACCGTGGCAGGATGTGGTGCCAAACGCCGACGAGGTGGCGCTTGATCTTCTCTCGCGCATGTTAGAATTTAACCCGACGCGGCGCATCACGGCGGAACAGGCGCTGCAGCACCCGTACTTTGTCTCATTGTATGACCCACTTGATCTCACGGAGGCCCGCAGCGAGCCGTTTCACTTCAGTGATGTTAATGACATAACAAAGATGCACGAAATGTTTATTAATGAGGTGCAGCGATTCAACACACTGCGGGAGCGGCGGGACCTCATCGCTCAACAGCGGGCGGCGACGGCTGCGCTTGCGAGTGCGGAGAATGTCCTCGGCGCCGATCACATGCTCCGCACGCTCAGTTTTATGGAAGTGTCGGAGCTGGTGCAGAATCCGTAGCGGCAGCAGGAAGGAGATTGAGGGGAAGGAGGAAAGGTGACACGCGTGCACGCCAGAGGAGGAGGAAAAAAAAAAAAAAAAAGGGCTCAGGATCAGGGTCTGGGGTGTGTGTGTGTGTGTGTAGTGGTGGTGGCGAGGGTGAAAAAGAGGCGATGCAACCAAAAGGAGAGGAGGCGGGAAGAGGAAGATGTGACAAAAGGCAAAAGGGCGTTAACGCAGATGTAAAAAAAAATACATATTTTATATTTATAAAATAAAAAGAAACGGCTGGAAAAAAAAGTCTGGTGGGAAAGAACGAAAAAAAAAAAAAAAAACCAATCGGCCACTAAAGCAGCTGGTTGAAGGAGGTGGACGGGCGGGGAGGGGCGGGGAGAGGAATGGAAGGGAAGGGAAAAGCAATTAGTTGAGAGATGGAGGAAATATATATTACACATTTTATACATGTATATGTGTAGGGAGGGCATGGGGAGAAATAGGGATTGTAATAAACACCACAGTCATTGCGCATGTGTGGAATGCATGCATGGGCATGTTGGTTGCGGGTATTCACTGAATATATTTTGATTTCTATTTTTGTGCGTGTGTGCGTGTGTGTGTGTACGTTTGGCGGTGGAGAAGAAGAAGAAAAAATTTCAACGAAAAAACAAAAAAAAAAAAAGGGGGGGAGGGGGGGAGGGAGGGGAAAATCCGCGTACAGGCGCAACAGCACCACACCGTTAAAGACGCAGGCGACACAACATGGCGGTTTGCTGCGTCAAGTGGAAATTGCGGCAGGAAAAGAAGGGCATTGAACAAACAACACAAAATCAAAATAAAATATTTAGAAGAAGAAGAAAAAAGGGAAAGAAAAAAAAAAAAAGAAAAGAAACGGCAGTCCATGTGTGGGTGTGGGGGGAGTCTTTTGGTCTTCCAAAAGAGAGAGAGAGAGAGAAGTGGCCTTTTTTGTTTGTTTGTTTTGGAGGGAAGAGGGGGAAGGGGAGTTTTTTTTTGGCCTTTTCGACAGGAGGTATGCGTCTGTGCGATATTCTAAATGAGCCTCGTTAAGCGTGCGCTGCTGGTTGCAGTTTATATGGGCAGTGTACATCCCTTTAGGAACGAAATAATTTGTGTGTGTGTGTGCATGTACTTGTGTGTGTGTTGCTGGTTGTTTAAATGGTGGATGTGGTGGTTGCGAAGTAGCGGGGGAAGGATATTTGCCGTCATGCGGTTTTGTTTTTGTCTCTTTTTTTTTTGTTGTTGTTTTTGGTCTTTTTGCCGTCCTGTCTCTTGCCTCCCTCCACCAATCACTTCATTGACCGCACCCGGTGAACATTTTTTTGTTTGTTTGTGTTTTTGTTTTTTTTTTTTTTTGTTGTTTTTTTTTATTTTGTTGTTTTTTGACTTTTCCCTTCGGAAAAAAAAAAAAACTGAGGCATGCAGGAGGGGGTTATTTTGCGTGCCTGCTTGCCTGTCTTCTCTTTTTTATGTTTCCGTGGAGCGTGGAATGGCCGCTTTTTTATTTATTTTTATTGGCTTCCTCTCTTCTCTCAACGGCAGTGCCGCGATCCGCGTGGCCACCGTGTCCCCACCGCCAGTTTTTTGTTGTGACTTTTCTTTAGGCGTCATGGGCCTCACCGCCCCCCGCCTGTTGTTTTTTTTTTCCCCCTTTTTTTCCCCCCTCCCTCGTCTCTTTTTTGGAGAGGAGTGGATTTCACTGCCGTGCGTCTGCCGGCTTTTATTTTGTTATTTTGTTTTTTGATTGCTTTCATCTTTTTTTTTTTTTTTTTTTTTTTGTATTGCTGGTGTTTTTTTCTGGCATTACCGCTCTGTCCCATTTTTTATTTGCGTGATGTCGTGCGACGCGGTCCAGTGGAGGAAAACACACGCAAAGAAAACCCACACAAGCACACAGGCACACACGCGGCGAGGATGTCCAAGACACTTTATGTTCTGTACGAAGCCCCGACCGGGTACGCCGTTTACAAGGTGCTCACGTCGGAGGAGATTGGCGCCGGGGATGTGGCGCTGCAAAAGGATCTGCAGACATTTGCCACATTCTCCCCATGGGTGAAGCTCATCTCATTCGCTCCCTTTCAGTCACCAGAGAACGCCCTAGAGGATGCCGTCTGCATCAGCGAGTCACTTGTTAGCCCGTTCTTGAACAATTTTCTCTCATCCGTGCTTGCCAAGAGGGCGAAGAAGGGCGATGTCAATTGGGAGCTTGGTGTGTGCGACGCAAAACTCGGCAGTGCCATTCACGACGAGCTGAAGTTCCCTGTTGTGTGCAACGAGAATGTGGTGGAAATCGGTCGCTGCCTACGCATGCACGCGGAGAAGTTGCTGCCGGAACACAAGGAAGGCGACATCCCTCGTGCGCAGTGTGGTCTCGGTCATGCCTTTTCACGTAACAAGGTTAAGTTTAACGTGCACCGCAGCGACAACATGATCATTCAGTCTTCCGCCCTTGCAGAGCACATGGATAAAGGGGTGAACCTGCTTGGCATGCGTGTGAAGGAATGGTATGGTTGGCACTTCCCAGAGCTTGCGAAGGAGGTGCCTGAGCCGCTTAAATACGCCAAAGTCGCGCTACTCATTGGTAGCCGCAGTACACTGGAGGAGCGTGACGCCGAGGAGGTCACGCAGCAGATAGCCGATATACTTGAGGGAGACGAGGCCCTCGCAGCCCGTGTATACGAAAAGGCCGTGACGTCCATGGGTGGGGACATGGCGGAAGTGGATTGGTTGAACATCCGCGCCTTCATGGAGCGTGTGACATCGCTGGGTTCCTACCGAGAGTCGCTGCAGCAGTACCTTGTTGAAAAAATGATGCTCGTTGCGCCAAACTTGACGGAGCTGATGGGACAAAACATCGGTGCGAAGCTCATTTCAAAGGCGGGCTCACTGACAAACCTCGCCAAGGCGCCTGCCAGCACCATTCAGATCCTTGGCGCCGAGAAGGCACTTTTTCGCGCCCTCAAGAAACGTAAGGGCAACACACCGAAATACGGGCTTATCTTTCACTCGACATTTATTCAGCGCGCAGCGAAGGAGCACCGCGGGAAGATCTCACGCTATCTCGCCAACAAGGCCG